ACAAGTGTGTGTCCGCTGGTGTGTTGATTTTGCACTCTAGATGTTTTAGAGGTTCACCCCTTCATTGCTGTGCAATTTGTTTATGCATTGTGGGGGATCTGTAGATTGTACACACAAAAAGTTTCAGTATTTGCTATTTTTTCCCCCCATTTCCCATCCATTTCCTATGGTCGGTCATTTTTGACCAAAGACCATGATTCTGACTATTTTTTTTACGACCACTTAGCTTTTTCGAATCATGCCCACAATTAGTTTTTGTGTTCACATACCAAGTGCCATAAAAGTCACCAAGTTTCATACCATTCTAGTGCAGCTATGATTTTTAAAAATTCTAAATGTATAATTCTCTGGTCAGAAGTGACTGAATACCGCACATAAGGATGCAACAAATAAGACTATTAGCAAAAATATTATCATTAAGACATGTTAGTTACATATTGCTTTACCTCCTCTTTTAGGGCAGAAAAGTCCAGCTCTGTGCCTCTAGGGATTTCCGGATAAAGACCTACATGTTTTAAAGTAGACATGGATATTATTTCACAAATAGAAACAATACTACATTACTACTTAATATGCAGTTAATCAAAAGGCCCAGTTGAGAAAGATGGTAATTGAATTTTTTACTTCAGCGAATTGCAAAAACTATTGCCCCAAACAACATTACTAATCAAAATACCACACCTCTACTGCACAAACTATATCGAGTTTTGTTGTTAAAATCTATATATTTTCTGTATATTGTCACAGAACACATATATTGTCATTCACTGCTTTTCTGTTACTTTAGTTTAGAATTGAAACTGGCAGTGAAAAACAGCATTTTGCCTAACAAAGTGTACATTTAAAACATGTATACAACAACAAGTTGTTAAGATTTGGGTGTAGTCACTGCATGCGCTTTAAAAAACAACTTATCCATGACTACTATCAAAATAACATTACTTAGAACATGAATCAAAAGTCAAGAACACTACAGTGCATGTGTGTGTGTGTTACCTTGCTCCACCCCTTTCTCGTAGCTGCTGAAAAGTGTGTGAAGACGAGCGCAGTTATACATGACAAAGACTCCACCCCTGGGGCCCTTTGTGGACACACCACTGTCCCGCTGAACATCTAAGGTCACCTGAAAGACAGCTGTCAATCATCTCACTAATGCAGGAAAATACATTCTACACACACACACACGCAAATACACTCACCGGACTTGTGTGCACTGTGGAAAGCAGTTCAAACCTCACGGTGGCCGAGGTCATGACTTTAATGATGTCATCCCATGTCTGACCTAAAAAAAAAAGTGAATTGATGGCACATGCACAAATCAGTTGACATCTGGTATTAACATGCATCACAACAATTCTGGGCTATTTCACTAAGACTACGAGCTGTAAAAGGAATTTTCTAAGAATGCACAGATAAACACACCTTCAACTTGGTCTCCGTACTTCATTTCTGAGGCCTCTTTCATCTGAGCTTTTCTTAACCTACAGCAATACACAGCCAACCATATAACACTGTAATAACTTGTAAGAATGATTTATAAAGTTGATAAAGCATAACAGTTGATGCTGTTCTAAAGTTTTGCCTTACTGAAGATACTGAGCTGCATTCATCTGAATTCCAGGAGTTTTAACAGGACCACAAATCACCAATCTCTAATAGAGAGGAAGAAAGCAGTTATTCATTCATTTTCCAGCAAAGATTGTGTAAAATGTAGTCATGTCCAACTGTGCAGCATTTGAGCTGGAAATTGTGTATTCACCCATTTGGGAGCATTACAATGGCTTAATATTGTCTTAAGACTTTTTGCAACTTATATGGATTTAATTTATTGTCTTTTAGATATTATGCCATCAATATGCTACTTAACACATAAAAATTAACAACAACAAAATCTCTTTAAAACAGCTATACACACTTTTACACAGATTTATAAACTTACTCTTCCAGGATAAGAAGGAGAAAAAATATTAATCAGACACAATTAAATGCTTTCTAAATGAGCATGATTTTTGCCCAATTCCAGCTGCTACTATTTAGGAAGTAGCAAATCATGGTTAGTAGCTGTGATATAACTAAAAGCTATTGGCTACTAAAAGAAAAGAAAGAAAAGAAAGGAAAAACAATGAGTCTTTTGATAGGTCCAACCAAAACTTCCTGTTACAGGACAGTAAATACAAAACAGAAAGCAATTGTTTGATATGTAAAGCACGCTGGTTCAGCTGATGGGCAAATATGTCTGTGTGGGTAGAGAGTGTGAAACCTGCACTGCCGTTGCACCCGTCGCTCTCCACAGCACGGCTGTTTGCTGCTGACGAAACTCATCCTGACAGGAAGTGACATGCAGGGCTGTTGTCATAGAGATCTAAAGCAGAGAAATCCATTACAAGCGTCCAACTAAAATATGGTAACTCACTGGAATTTAAATCAGACCGATATAATCCAGACAGAGGGTCCATTTGACTCACAGGGAAATCTGTGGTAGCACTGTCCAGCTGGGCCAGATGACACAAAGCTTCTCTCTGCACTGAAAACAGAGAAATCACTGACTTACGCACAATACAGAGGGGAAAACTAAGGCTATCCAACAGTTTATCACAGAAACACTAGGCGTAAAACAGTCCTTGTAAAAAATCTGGGAGACACAGTACGGTTTAGTACGGCCCAGTTCATCCCATCTTAAAGGAATAGTTCACCCAAAAATTAAAATGTTATCATCATTTACTCACCCTCATGTCGTTCCAAACCTGAATACGTTTCTTTCTTATGTTGAACACAAAAAAATATATTTTGAAGAATTCTGAATTAGGGTTGCAAAATTCTGGGAATTTTCAAGACTGGAATTAATGGGAATATATGGGAATTATCGGGAATAAACGGGAAATTTGCAAAATTGCAGGAACTGGGGACTTAAACGTAGTTGAGAACAAATCTTGCAGCATAATTTTGGTTAAAACAACCTGATTTAATGCAATTTCAGTTAAATTTCTACCCTACACATTGCTCAATCACATGCACACAGCACACTGCTTACTGCAGGGCTATTGAGGCCACAGCCCCCTACATGCACTGTGCTTTCCTCCATAACATGAACAGATCATTTCTTAAATCCTGCACCCAAAATATCAGAATGTCCATCTTGGTAAGTAGCCTATTCATGTAATTTACATGAATATTACAAAAAATTGTTTACAATCCTTGTGCTGTGTGTAATATACTGTGCAACTAAATTAGGCTATACCATTGTAAAAACAAATACACTGACTGAACAAACCATAGACTGGAACAAACATTTAGGTGAGGTAATAATAAAACAGAAGTCTAAAAATGACCCTCCCCCACACATAATCCCCCTTAGTCACCTAAGAAAGGGATTCCCCTCCATTTTCTCTAAAGCCACATGTGCTGCATTTGAGCCCAAAGACTACATCTAAATTTTGATATTCTAAATATATTTGATCTATGGGATTCAAGTTTAACTAGTAAATACCAAAAAGTGTTTTTACAGTAGCTAGCTAGCCAGTAAAATCAAGATATGAAAATTCTAAGCGAGTTAGCACTATTTCTTTGACAATTTATGAGGTATAAACTAGCTCAAGCTGTGATGCTCTTTCTGCTAGCAGAAGTACAGTACTGGTCAAAAGTTTGGAAACATTACTATTTTAATGTTTTAAACATTGCATATATTTTGCTCATCAAGCCTTCATTTATTTGATCAAAAAATACAGAACAAAACAGTAATATTGCTCCGTATTACATTAAACATTATTACATTATATTAAAATATAATGTTTTTCTGTGATGCAAAGCTGAATTTTGAACATCATTACTCCAGTCTTAAGTGTCTCATTACATGATTCTTCAGAAATCATTCTAATATACTTATTTATAATCAATTTTGGAAACAGTTGTGCGGTTTAATATTTTTTTTTATTACCTGTGATTATTTTTCAGCATTCTTTGATGAATAAAGTAAAAAAAAAAGAGCAGCGTTGATTTAAAATAGAAATAATTTTTTACCAATACCATTCAAAAGTTTGGGGTCTTTGGGAAATTTTTGAATAAATTAATACTTTTATTCAACAAGGATGTGTTAAATTAATAAAAAGTAATAGTAAAGACTTCAGGCCCGGCGTCAGAGGGAAGGAATTATAATAAAACTTGTGTTTTTCATGCTTGACAAGCGGCCACGTATGACACAGAGATAGCTAACTACTACTACACTATATAAAAAAAGATAATAATTTCAGAAGCACAGATGTGATTCTGCAACCGAGCCTGGTCCAAACGCAGGATTTAGGTAAGGAAACGGTCATTATTTGTATTGGCTGCGATGCCAAATCATGCACACCTGCTTGCTTTTCCATGTTAAGGCCAATAACTGATTAATTGGCTATAATTCTATACTAAATTAAAAAATAAACTGCTACAAATTAAAATCAATAATTTTAACCCTGTAAGGCACTGTTGAAATATTACAACATCAGTTTTAGCTGCTCATGTTTTTGTTTTTCTCCAAGACCACATTTACACAAATGCTAGATTTTAAAAATAGGCCTATTTACCTGGCCATAAACTCACACATCAAGCACATCATCTTGTTTTACTGGACTGGATAAATCTACATTCAAGTAAGTAAAATGCCCCCCAAAAAAAATTCTGTGATTATTTAATATGTGTAGATCATGTAGATATTAAGGTATTGTTGAATGCATTGATCATTTTAGATTTTGAGCTTATGTCAGTGTTGTAATTTTGCAACATTGGGTTAAAGGGGTAGCAAAATTTGCCTGTGCACCTTGCACATTACATGGATGAATTGTACTTCTCATCTGTTCCATGTGAAAAAAATACTAATAGAAACAAAATAAAACTGTTTTTGATCATTCACAAGTTTTAAATGTTTTTATTAGGGCCCGAGCACCGATGGTGTGAGGACCCTATTGGAATTGCTCCTTTGGAATATTGCGGTGTTTATTATAAATGATTATCTTTGCACATTACTTAAAAAAATATATTTAATCTAAAACATTGATCCAATCAATTGGCAAATGACAAAATGAAGTCCCACCCTACAATTTTTCTAGCTTGAGAAGCTGATACACTATACGTCAGAATAGCAGAGAAAAGACAGTTGCACTTTCCGTTTTTATGCCAACTTTAGGTCACATTCGCCGTTGATCCGTGAAATTTCATTGAAAGACCTGGAGTATCGCATGAGGGTGAAAAAGTTCCTCATGGAGATTTCAATGCGTTCAATTTGGTCTAACAAATTTGCTGTTCTTTTGTGTGAGTCTGTGTTTTGCTTTTTTGCCAACAAAATTTCACCAAAAAGCTTTTTATATTCTACGAATATAAAGAATATATATTCTATACATGTCACTGACCTACCAACAGAATGAAGGCGGCATAAAAAAATTTAACTAATTTAAGATTTTACTCTCACAAATAATCGTCAAAAGTGTTATAATTTTTACGTTAATTTTTAAGATGTAATATTTTTTTAATTTGTCATTTTTACAATAATATATAATATAAATATTTCAATTATACAAGTCGCAACAACGTTTTCAAACATTTCAGAAACCACAAAACATTAGAAATTAGAGCACACCACGCGAACTTTTGTGGTAACCATAGCAACAGTTTGTTGCTCCAGCGGTTTTCGTTGAGATTCCCTATCGGACATCGACTAACCATAAAAAGGTATGTTTGTTAAGTACTGTCATTATTTTTCGTATATTTAATCTAAAACATTGATCCAATCAATTGGCAAATGACAAAATGAAGTCCCACCCTACAATTTTTCTAGCTTGAGAAGCTGATACACTATACGTCAGAATAGCAGAGAAAAGACAGTTGCACTTTCCGTTTTTATGCCAACTTTAGGTTACATTCCCCGTTGATCCGTGAAATTTCATTGAAAGACCTGGAGTATCGCATGAGGGTGAAAAAGTTCCTCATGGAGATTTCAATGCGTTCAACTTGGTCTAACAAATTAGCTGGTCTTTTGTGAGAGTCTGTGTTTTGCTTTTTTGCCAACAAAATTTCACCAAAAAGCTTTTTATATTCTACGAATATAAAAAAAATATATTCTATACATGTCACTGACCTACCAACAGAATGAAGGCGGCATAAAAAAAATTAACTAATTTAAGATTTTACTCTCACAAATAATCGTCAAAAGTGTTATAATTTTTACGTTAATTTTTAAGATGTAATATTTTTTTAATTTGTCATTTTTACAATAATATATAATATAAATATTTCAATTATACAAGTCGCAACAACGTTTTCAAACATTTCAGAAACCACAAAACATTAGAAATTAGAGCACACCACGCGAACTTTTGTGGTAACCATAGCAACAGTTTGTTGCTCCAGCGGTTTTCGTTGAGATTCCCTATCGGACATCGACTAACCATAAAAAGGTATGTTTGTTAAGTACTGTCATTATTTTTCGTTTCACAACACATTTATATAAAAGTTTTGTTTAAAATGTCATTTACACGTTTGTTTTCCAGGGGCGCGAAAAGACAATTGAGTTACCTGCGAATTCCCTCAAACAAAACAAAAAGACATTTTGACCGCATGACAGTGTAAAAAAAAAAAACAAGGTTTCTGTTGTTGGGGGAAAACAGTAATAAATCAGAGCATAATTATGACAGTGTGGTTCTCCTAATAGCCAACATGTTGTTTTCGGTATTGGCATAGTCTGACCTAGATGTAACGGGCAGCGAGGAGTTAAATCATTTCTGCCGCAGGGTTCAAATGTTTGGTCGATGCCACCAATGTCAACAGTCTAGCTGGCGCCCTGCGTGTCTGTGCAGAGCTCGGGCTTATATTCTGACAATTCTGTGTCAGTGACTCTGTGATTCATAAACAGACGTCCAAAGCAAAAGCTCTAAAATATCCAACACGGCGCCTCAAGCCATGCGTAAAATTGCCATGCGGAGAAGCGCGAGAACGCATCTGTCACTGGTGCAGGCCAGGAAGAGATCATAACACAGAAAATAAAAAACGCACATGTGAGCACATATTTCAGACTGACCTCTCCACCGGCGTACAGCGTCGTCAGAACCGTGCTGGGTGACAAGAAGTCACGATTTCTCAGGTTTTTTGCGCTGCTCTCCTTGAACCAGTGCTTCTCTCGCTCGCGGCTGATCTCGGCTTCATGTTCAGCATCTCTCCGCAACGCGCCGCTCAACGCTTTGACGGTGGACACGATGTTAAATGGCACGGCTTCTTCCATGATTAGGCTCTGTATGTTGACATTGTTTTTAGTGCCCGGACTGGAGGGATGTTAGTGAGATTGACTGTAGCAGCACTGCGGTGCTGTGTGCTCGGATTGATCCCCAATCAAAACAGATGCACGGGGACCGGAACGTTAAGAAATGTCACTGCCTGGTCAGAGAAGGCATATTTTCATGTAACACCGGTTGCGTGTTTTTGAAAGGCGCCATTTTGGGTGTGGCAAAAATCAGTTCAGTCAATGACAGAACAGAAAGTAAAAGTGCACTTCTGATAAAATACATTTTGTTCAGAAGCTGCCGTTTTATTTGAAAATATATAGACTATTTAAATAATCTATGGATTACTTTCCGTCTTATTACTGATGTTTAACATATTAATGTATGTGCACCCCGTGTGTAATGTTATATGTGTAAACCCGCATAACTTTATTTATTGTACTATATTACAAAGTCATTTGATAGCTTTGGGTGAGGAAAAGAGTATTTATCATCGTTAAAGTATTCGTTACAAATCTTCCTTGACTATACTGTTTTCATTCATTTTATTTAAAACAGCAGCATGCACATTCTGCTATTAATTTCTGCTTTTCTGATAAAAAAAAAAGTAAGTAAATGATAACAGAATACTTTAGATTTTAGGAGACTAAAGGTGAAAAATTATTTTAACTTATTTTTTTTTTTACTTTTCTCTAATTAAATATATAAGCCAGACTTTTATTCCATTTAATGTTTTGAGTAGACTGCATCAGGCTGAAGCATATTTGAATGCTGGTTGTTCAGTTGCTTATTTGAGTACTTCCGCTTTGTTTGTTGCAGGTAACAATTGTATGTAAGAGCTGAGCTTGGGCCAGATTACTAGTCACATGTTGTGGTTTACAGTAAGATCTAGATCTCTTCCCAAAACAACTAAAACAGCAACACTGGCTCACAGATTTCACTTTATGTCCTCTAGCCAGAGTAAAATCTACAAAGCAAATCATCCAAAACCTGTTTCAGATAACTCATCCATTGAAAACGCAAACCTCTATCATTCCTCTCTATATCATCATGTAGATCTAAGAAATTATGTGGGAGTTTTGATGATAAACAGTCAACAAGTGATGTATGACAAATGTTCTTAATTTATTATTAAATTACAGAAACACAATTCAAATGTCTGACAAAGCATTTTAGTAAGAGATTCTGTGATTTACTGAATACTGAAGATTCTGAAGATTTGTGATTGTCAGGAAGTGATGCCAATCTTGGCTGACACGAAGTTCCCGGTGGCGAAACATATTTCTGGCAATCCGGGAGAAAACGTGTCATTCCAGAGCAACATCAGAACTCATCACTCACATACACATTTCTGACTCAACTATAACATTGTAGATATATTCAAATACATTTCAAGTAATACACAAGTAAAATTCACATTAAGTATCATATCTGAATGAGTCCAACTCCTGAATTCTTCCAAAACATACAATTCTCATCTTTAAGCTCCTGCAAGAAAGGAAGGACACAGAATCCATAGCCAGCTGTCAATCAACCAAACAGCTGCATTATGGGTTCCGTTACCATCCAAACTGCTGTGGTCATTTTCACAGACACTCCGTGAACAAACACATCCAGCAACGCTTCATCATTTAACACTTTTTTCGTATGGAAATTACATATATCAAGTCTACTTTTTTTAAATAAGAAAAAATAAATGACATTCAAACAGCTTTTACCACAAACAAGTTTGGTGCCTCTGCAAATGAATCAAACTTGTTTATTTATCTTGCGTCATCTGTAGACTTGTGTCTTGAAAAACCTGTTCTCTATCAGAGAAGAGTGGGCAGAGAGAGGGAGGGAGAGAGAAGGAGAAGGGGGGGTTATGCAAGGTAAATGAAGACAAAATGACAAGAGAGATTAAACAGGATATAAAACTGACTAAAGAAAGTCACATGAAGTAAAATGAAAGGAGGAACTAGCCTGAAATATGAAGCTTTCATTTTAGATTCAACAAGCTTGATGGCACTTTGCAAAAGTTTTAGTGATAACTATTTGAAGTGATCGCTTCTCTCTTTCCTTCAGATTTCCTCATAATTGCCAAACACAGACAAATGAATGAGAAAAAGATGAGCAGAATGAGACAAATGAATGAAAGACGGTTTGTATCAAAGCATATTTCCATAATTTCTTTTTTTCATTTCAGTGTGATCTACTTGCAAAAGAGAAGACAAGTTAACAAATGAAAGAAACAAGTGGAACAAAGGTGAAGAGAAATGAAAGAAAACTACTTGTCACTGTGATAAACGACATAAGAGACCCATTGAACATGACAGATACAAACTGCCAGGTATGACAGAGATGAGATGAATAATTCTGTTACCTGCTCCTGTCATTCCTCCTCTCTCTGCTCCCTGGCTTGTGTGAGTTTGTCAAAGAGCATCCGCGTATTTATGCCTGCTGACTTCCTCCTCAGAAATCCGAGGAACATTTTCACTTTCACTTCTTTACTAGACTGCCCACAACCTCCCCCTCCAAACATCTCAATGTCTTTCCCTTCTCTTTTTATGATTCCCGTCATCTCTTTCTTATCATTTATATTTCTTTGTCTGTTATGTGCTTCAACTTTTATGGTTGATTCACTCATGTGATGATAGGTGCAACATGTGTTTATTAATTTTTATTATTAATAATTTATTACATATCTTTATACAGTATTACATCTTTATATGTATTAATTTTAATGTTATATATGAGAATTATATACATCCATGGTCTTTTTTTTAATAAAAGTTCTAGTCTTCTCAGACTGCAGGAAAGATAATATTGCTGCACACATTGATTTACATCTGTCAGTCATTTCATTTTTGCTGTGTATAAAAGCCTTAAGATATTTGGGCACAGCTGGGATGAGCTCATAATGGGCTAATATCATATTTCATTTATGAGGAGCCACCTGGAGCTCTCAGCCCAACCTGTCCAGGTGCGGGTCCATTAGTAAGCATGTGTAAACGCTTGTTTGGAAAGTCCGGTAGTTTTGGAGGTGAAGGCTGGTTCCCTTGAGACACGCTTGCAAAATGAGGAATAACGTACCAATGTCAATGTTGAGCAGCCATCTACCCACACACTCACAGATTCAGGATTTGAAAACCAATTTATGATGAAAAAACACATGCAAGTGAAAAATTTTGTAATTTACATGACACAGCCACATTTTTACAAAGGTACTCACATGCACCTAACTTGAACTGTCAGTTCTCGTTTTATAACAAACTTGACAGAAATCCCATTAAAATACAACACTTCCTGTTTTACACAGATCAGCGGCACTCAATCAACCCGTTTTCACCTCTGGACAGAAAATGTTGACTGTTTATTGCTTATAATAATGCATATGCAGTCATATTTTATTAATCAAGACGAGACAAATATCTGTGGCAAAAAAAAAATATTTTTCAACGAACTTTTGTCAAATGATTACAATCAAAAACATATTTCTTGACATGTAAGGCATCTGATACAAACAGCAGACAGCATGCGTTCGCCACAACCACACAAATTCACGCAAAACTGGCATATGCTCGCAGACACACGGTTCCTCTCCTTGCTAAGAGGAAAGGCGGCTGGGGAAGACGAGAAAGAGGAAGCTGAGGTTCTCAGTGTGTTTGGGTGCCTGTATGTGCAAAAGCACTTGTGGAAGTCCATTAATGGAGGTTTATGTGCGTTTGGCTATGCATGTACTGGCATCTGTAATGTCTTCTTTAAAACAGGCGCTTCTCATAGCTGAAAGAACAAAATAAAAGATCAGTTCATTTTTTTTTTTAAGTTCAAACTTGTACATTATTCCATTCAAAAGTGTGGTTTCAGAAAGATTTAGCATTTTCTTTTTGAAAGAAGTCTCTTATGCTCACAAAGGCTGCATTTATTTGATCAAAGATAAATATTATTACAATTTAAAATAAATATTTTCTATGTTAAAATATTTTTTATTTAAAATGTAATTTACTCCTGTGATGGCAAAGCAGAATTTCCAGCAGCCACTGCGCTAGTCTTCAGTGTCACATAATCCTTCAGAAATCATTCTAATGTGTTTTGGTGCTCAAGAAATTATTTTATTATTATCAATGTGCTGCTTCATATTTTTGTGGAAACCATGATATATTTTTCTTTCTAGATTTTTTGATGAATATAATTCGTATAAACTCATTTCAAAATAACAGCATTTATATGAAATGGGAATCTTTTTCTAACTTTATAAATGTCACTTTTTTTTATAACACTTATTTTCAGCATTTTGCCTTTATTTGGATAGGAGAGAGGAGGGGGATGGGATCGGGAAAGGTCCACGAGCCGGGACTCAAACCCAGGATGCCCAGAAGCACAACGGCGCTATATGTCGGTGCGCTGCCCACGAGGCTATTGGCACTGACATAAATGTTACTTTTGATCAATTTTAATGCATTCTTGTCGAATAGAAGCATTATTTTTTTATCTTACTGACCCCAAACTCTTGAAGTGTACGAATGTTCAACTACCTGTGTAGGCTGTGCACTCCACCCTCCATCTGAGCTGACATTGTCCTCTTTTCAAACCTCAGTTCACCAGAATACATCATTGCCCTGAGATAGATGAAGAAAGAAAGAGGGGGAAAAAAGAGGAAAAAAGGTGCAGCGTATAGTTTCAGTGCCACTAAAGGAATCAAACAGAATTGGCAAAAATAAGAAATTATAGTTATGGAAACAATCATACTTTTCACAATTTTGTTTGCCGTCACTAGTGGCACTGAAACTATACACTGCGCCTTTGAATGCATTTAATTGCCGGTATGCGAGTAATTAGTGCGATTGCGTGTACCTCAGCTGTGTGAGGCTCTTTGCACCGATGTCTTGGCAGGAATGCTGTATGCCAACGAGGAGATATGGAACAAACTTATGGATGGAGCCTTTATCCTGAACAGCCCCTGAAACTCCCTGAGCTACTTTAATCTTATCACTCTCACTGAAAAAGAGACAGAGGGGTTGAGAGAGTGAACATGGTTTCAATTTATATTCTGTAGAACTTTCTCAGTCTAAGATATTAGCTTTTATTAATGTTTCATTTAACTACTATTCCATAAATATATCAAGCATCAGTCTATATAAGCAGTTGTGAAATAGCTAGGATATAGCAAAGAGGTTTAAAAAAAAAAAATGGGAACCTGCTATTAGTAGCTAAACTAGCAGGAACTAAGAGCAATAAGTGCACAGTATTGTATTTGAGAAAGGATTTATTTGTGTGTAACACCTGAAGTATCTGCTCTGTGAGCCCAAGTTCTTGTCCATGGCATCCAGTGATCCCATTCCTCTGTACTTCTTTAGACGGATCCCATCCGAAAAAAAAAATTCACCAGGAGCTTCAGAAGTGGCAGCGAGCAATGACCCCATCATTACTGAGAGAAACCAAAAGCAGAAGAGAATTTAGCTTCAATTACGACGTTAGTCTGTATCTTGTGAATCTATATCAAACCCATATCTCACCTGTTGATGCTCCCAAAGCAAGTGCTTTAGCAATGTGACCAACTGTCTGAATCCCCCCATCAGCGATGACAGGCACTCCAAACCGCCGAGCATATTCTGATACCTTATACACAGCTGTTGCCTGTGGCCTCCCGCATGCTAGCACTGTGAGAACAATGAGAAATAGAGACCCTTACTATCAACCTAAACTAGCATATTCTACAAATATTAATTTATGTAGATGAGGACAATCATATGCATTGATAAACAAATACTCTCCACTAACTGTTGTTCATACAAACACAGACATCCATACTCTCTCACACACACAGACAGACATGTGGACACATGAATGACTATGAGTGTACTCTTTACTCGTGCAGTCATGTGACTTCAGTCAGTGACAATCAAACAACCAGTAAACGTTACAGAGACAGTATTGCATGTCTATTCAAAATGAGGCCAAACCAAAATGAATCAAAGAAATCTAAATCATAGCACTTCTTTGAACTTCACTAAGTTCAAAGACAAAAAGTTAGCGTTATATGAAATATGTGGATTTATGAAAGTGGAATTTTAGATGTGAGATTTTCTATAAATGGTGATGTAACATGAGAGGAGAAGAAGAGTCCATCAGCAAACCCTCTGCAAGTCTTGACAAACAAGGACAAGTGAGAAAGTTTCTAAATGATTTGAATAATTCTCTAAATTCGCCTAAATCTTTTGCTCCACTGTCTGTTTGTGACCTTTCGCAAGACCATCACAATAAAAAGGAAAAACTGAATGACACTGAATGACACACACACACACCTGTCAAACCCAATTATTATCTGTTCCAAATGCTGACAGAGTGGGATCCAAAAGTCTGAAACTACTTGTGCAAATTATGCTAATTTATTTAATCAATCTAACTAATTAAACATTATATTAATTAGCATAACAAGTGAAAAGTTGCATGCAAGATGCGTGGAAATCCATGCTGTCATGGTTTTTGGAATTTTCGTTGTTTTATTCAAGACAACGAATGAGAGTAGACAAGAAATGACAGAGAGTCAGCTTTTGACCCCAAACCCCCTTCTGTAATTTCTAAAGTCACACCATCTACACTCTGCATACAGTAAAATGAAGAAAAAAAATTGGTGTGAGTTAAATTAACACACACTACACTGAACTGTAAAACAAAGACCTTCTGCAGTGAGACCAATGGTTGTGAAACCCTCAAGCTATTTCTGCTTTGTTAACAAGTGCACTTCATACACTCCAGTGTTCTTACAGCAGCTCTAAAACCTATTTGGACACTTAAACCATATTTCTAGCATTTTCATTGTACAGATAAAATATCAAAGCAAATGACATATTGAAATAAAACAATGCTAGAGATGTTCTAATTTCACTTTCCTGTGGCAAATTGGCATTTACTTTTAATCAACGACTTAGCAAATAGGGCTGCACGATTAATCGAAATTAAATCGCAAAGGCGATAAATCGCATAAATTGTCATGCGTATCTTTCAGTGAAGCACGGTTCTGTGATCAGCAGTAAATCTCCATCCGAAGGCCAGAGGGCGCTCTCGCGCTGAAACTCCAAATACTCTTTGCAAAACCCAGGAAATCCCTATAGTGGTTGCTGAATAAACAGAAGATTTAACTGCCTTCATTAATTCAACGTGACTAATAAACACATGATTACGACAATATATGATTTATCCGAGTTCGTCTTATTAAAATTTTTATTATAATAAAGTATATAATAATGCAATGCTAATCGACATAGCCTTTATCACTGCTTAGAATACTATGAAATTTGTTGCGTGCCTTATTCTGTGTAAGAAGCCACATCGTCTCACAGAAGGATTTATTTCAAACACTCGACTGATGTTATGAAGTGAGTTTGGAGTAAAAACATGTTCTTAAATGTGGTATTTTCACGTGCTTTCAGATGGAGCAGCATTTACTACACAGAGCCGTAGTTCACTGACAAGCTACGCAAACCGCTTTCATAACCGCAGAACGATTTCTTCGATTTCATAATCACGCGATTAAACCGTCTGCGATTATGAACACGATTTTGCGTAGCTCGTCAGTGAACTACGGCTCGGTGTAGTAGACGCTGCTCCATCTGAAAGCACGTGCTGAAGATTTACTACTAATCACAGAACCGGCTTTACTGACAAGATATGCATGACAATCGCATTCGATTAATCGTTCAGCCCTATTAGCAAATGTATCAAGTTGTTTCCCCTCAAGTTCAATGTTTGAAGAAAGTGACCAAATGTTCAATACTGTCATTTTAACAGCATGTTTTATTTTTAAAAATAAACGCCACTTGGTTTTATATTTCATGATACAATGACATTGTTTAAGTGTGACTTTCGTGTCCAAATTCCTTTCTGGCCACTGCACAAGCTAGTTCACGTATGTTAGTGAGGGTTTCTGAGTAACAGACTTAGATCAGAGGAAGTGCCAAACGCCATTACTGACAGGTTAGTCATACAATGACAAGCATCCAAAACCCCAAAAACCAGCAACTACTTCTAATGATGCAGAGCCATTAACCAGTCAATGCAGCAGGCAGAGTGAGATAGTGAGCCAATGGGATCTGTATTGGGATCAGGGGGAGGGACTTACTGGAGTATCCCGTAACAGTAGTTGGGGTTTTGGGGCTGTGGAGCTTTAAACCAGGAGGAATACTGAGAGGTGCTAGAGAGACACAATTATAGAAAGGGAAATAGATACTGAGAAATAGCACACGGTAGCTCTGTTCTAAAACCTTGCCTTGCTGCCTACTGTACATAAGCGGCTTTCTTCTAAGGAAGTATAACTAATTGTTATGGAACCTCGTAAGGAATAGATTTGGAATGCAGTACAAAGGCTGCAACTGTGTGCAACACAGTTTGATGTTACCATGTTGTTAAACTAACAGCATGATACTCTAATAAGCATGAAAATGTTACACTAATAAATGCTGGGTAAAATAATATATTCAAATTACTTATCTATTTTACAGTATAAAACATGTTCAGTTTTAAGTTTAAAATAAAAAAATTGCCTGCCTTGTCAGCCATCCTGGATTTATTTTCAATGCATTATAGAACTGTAATATTCATGAAGGACATATACAATTTAAAATAACATTTTCAAATATTTTCAAATGTAATATTTCTAATTTTCAATCTTTAGTGTCACATGATCCTTTAGAAATTATTCTAATATGCTGGTTCTTTTTATGTTTTACTCTCACTTTTGATCAATTTAATGCATCCTTGCTGGATAGAAATATTAATTTCTAAAATATAAAAAAAAAAAAAAATGTGAACAGTAGAGTATCTCAGAAGGCAGTATAATTATGCCTACCTTCTGAAACAGTCTTTGCTAGGTTTTGGAACAGAGCTGATAAAAAAAAAAGGGAACTGATGCAAGTAACAAAAACAACCGGTCAAAAGAAAGAAAATATGCTATAGAGACCGTCAAATAAAGCACAAAAGAAGGGAAAACAGAAAAAGAGAAAAACTGTGATAGAAAAGAGAAAGGAAGAGCCTCCACTACCATACTCTCATCATTCAGAGCGACAGAGAAAGACATTTGTCACAGAGAACTATACAAACGGACAGATAGACACTTATATAGACATACATATTAATTCTTAAGACAAAACCCACAGAATATAGAATAATACCTACACCACACAAACAAAAATAGGAATTCTCCACAGATTCTAAAACCCCAGAAAAATGCTGGAAAAGAGGAAACAGGGCAGTGTGGATTGTCTGCCAATCAATCTGTACAATTACCTTGCAGACCAAAACTGCAGGGATATTTGGGAAATGACAGATAATTTGGACTGCTCTAACAATGTTAAAAGAAAACCTAGAGGAGGCACTGGATATTAGCTGCTCTCTCTGGAATGACTGGATATAGAAATACAGCCCGTGATCGGCTGAGGGGCAGGCAGTCAGGCGTGGGATTGGTGGACTGACCTTCTTGTGTGATGCAGATGGAGCCGCTGCCCATTCCCACTCTGAGAGCATCCGCTCCGGCATCAATCAAATTCTTCGCCTGAGCCGCAGTCACCACTACAACAGATAGACAGCCCATGTTAACTATGTGTTTGTAGATATTATGTTCAAAAAGTTTGTGTTTAAAACTAACCATTGCCGCCGATGACTTGTAGGTTAGGATATTTCTCTTTTATGTACTTAATCATATTAATCTGAAAGATGGAATTTCCTTGGGAAGAGTCCTAAAGTGAGCAGAGAGACAATAGGTAACCAAAAAGAACAAAAAATAAACCATCTTCAAGAACTGATTCACTGAAAGACATTAAACCCAAAACAGGCCTCACCAGGACAACCACGTCTACACCAGCCTGCACCAGCAGGTCAAGTCTGTATTTGTCATCATTGTGTGTTCCGATGGCAGCACCACAAAGCAGCTGTTTACGAGAGTCCTTTGAGGCCAACGGGAAATCTCGGTTCTTCTTCAGATCTGTCCGAGCGATGATGGCCACCAAACAGCCCTCCTCATTTACAATAGGAAGCTTACCTATGGCAAACAAACACTGAGTGTGAGAGCTTCACATGGGGGAATTATCTTGTAGCATTCTGACTTCATTCCAAACTTGGTTTTATCAGACTGATTCAATATGATAACTCATGAATTTGTGAGTCTTTTTGAGAGATTCAACATTTTTTATTTGGTTGTTTTATACCATGTCAGCGGCTTTATTTATGGCTGAAATCACTTACATAGGCAAATAAACAAATTAATAAACCTTTAAAAGGAGATATGAAATGGATATACAGAATCAATAATTTACAAACTAAATAAAATGTATTAATATTTAAAGGGGTGGTTCATTGTGATTTCACTTTTTTAATGTTAGTGTGTAATGTTGCCGTTTGAACAAACAATATCTGCAAAGTTATGAAGCTGAAAGTTCAATGCAAACAGAGATATTGGCTTTTAAAATTCTAGCGGGTTAATGCCTACAAAAACGGCTAGTATGGACTTCAAGAAGTTACTTCTCAGGTTTGTGACATCACAAACCCTGATAAGCCCCGCCCTCGGGAAAAGGCAGCAAAGGGGGCGAGGCCATGCTGCGCTGCTTTAGAGAAGAGGAAGAGAAAACTAGAGGTGCACGTAAAAATCTATTCATATATGAATTGCGATTATGTCTTCTAACGATTCTAATGGATTCACAAGTTTCAAAATCCTGTTCCTTGCGTCCCCCTGCTCTGCATCTCTCTCTCTCATTCAGCTAAGCTATAACAATGAACCGTTCCAATTATACACTTATTTTCACATAGCTATGAGAAGCGTTAAACATGGACGTGCGTGCAGTTGCCATACTGTATTAAAGCTTTAATCAGGATAAAACCGTCGAAGGAGGGGCTTCATAGAAGGAAATGATCAGTGCGTTTTTCAGAGAAGGGACAGAGTGGTGTGGAATAAAGGTAAATTATGTCAAAAATAATGTGTTTTTTTTTTTTTTTTAAACGAAGCATTAACACATGTTAGACTGCACCCCATAAACACAATCAAGCCTAGAAAAAAACTGTGAACCACCCCTTTAAAAGACAGGAGTGCCTTTAGGATACAAATTCTGCATGTTATCCTATTGACACTTTACTAAATGCATTATTTAAAATAAATGCTGTTTTTGAACAGTAGTGTATACTGGATACAATAAGCAAAAACAAGATGCAAGATCACTGTTTTGCAATTATTTTGTATTTCATGCAGAAGTGGTGCATGAAATACTGCTATATAGGTTAATGAATAATTAACATTCATATAAATGGTTTCTTTGGTTCAAGGATTAATCCAAAACTTTCAAAAGGGTAAAGAGCTCTCATAAACACTTAAAGTCTACCCCACCTTTTTTGCTCCTCTGGAGGATTTCATTGGCCTCTTTCAGTGTCACTCCTGCTGGAGCTACAACCAGGTCCTCCCTTTTAGTCATTACCTGAGAGAGAGAAAGTTAAGGTGAGCGGAGTTCAGTAAAAACTGCTTAGCCCTCATCCTCTGTTAAGCCCCACCCACCTCACTGAGGGGCAGGTCATGCTCCGACTCTTTGAGGAAGTCAATATCTCGTGATGAAATGATGCCGACCAGACGTCCGCCCATCTGTCCATTGTCAGTGATCGGAATCCCACAGAATCCATGCCGAGCTTTTGCCTGAAATACGTCTCTTACCCTCTCATTAGGACTCATCACCACCGGATCCGTAATGAAACCCTGTTCGTACCTCTAAACGGGGGTTGATCAAAAGCGGAGGGAAAGGGAGGGAGAAAAGTCGAGTGATGTTCTATTAGGCATTTCTACTTGGGAGTCACCTCAGTACATATCACTTAATACAAAATGAGGTGTGGATTTCTCATCCACAAGGATGCTGTTGCAACTACAGGGTAAGGGTCAGAAGAAAAACAGATATTACGAATGAGAGAAGAAAACTGGTACAAACATAAAGAGACAAGAGTCAAAGACAGAGACGTAAAGAGACTCGCCTTGACCTTGCGGACTTCATTAGCCTGGAACTCTGGTGTGCTGTTATGATGAATGAAGCCAATCCCACCAGTCAGCTGTGACAACACATTATCACATTAGACTTTAGAACAAAACACAACACGCATAGATGGTCGATCTTTGTACATTTAGGTTTAAAGACTAAATTTAGGTTTAAAAACTCTTGGGGAGTTTTGGGGAGACAGGACAGGAGATAGGCAGAAAAAAGTTCCACTTAGCTCCACTTACCTGGAAGAGGAAGATTGCAAATTTTAGATGTGTATGTCTGCTAAGATTTTTATTTTGTCAACTTTTAGAAGTATACAAAAGAACAAAAGAGTACAAAAAGTATACAAAAGCTGACAAAAGAAGCAAAGATGGTCTAAAAGCTAATGGACATCTTCAAACTCTTATCTTGATTCATGGGGATTTTAATGACTTCATTGATATTAAAATATGAGGCAGCATATTTGCAAATAAACTTTTCTTTTGTAATATGCATACATACAGATAACTGTGCTTATTCAAATGCCTATAATAGTAAGAGCACTTTCTGTGGTGGAATCTTGTGTCAGTCATTCTCTTACCGCCATAGCAATGGCCATGCCAGACTCTGTGACTGTATCCATGGGTGACGAGACCAGTGGAGTTTTCATTGTGATTTGTTTGGTCAGCGCTGATGTCAGGTCCTACAGAGAGAGCCAATCAAATTAAACCAGTGATGGTATACAAGAAACACCATCCATACAACAGTAGAGTATAAAATTGACTACTGTACAAAAGTAGTGTTTCACTTACCACTTGGTCAGCTGTGAAGTCAATGTACCCAGGCAGAATCAGGAAATCACTGAAAGAGAATGGAGAAAAGTGGGCAAAAATGTGAGTGAGATTAATTAATTTAAAGCTGCTGCAAGTGATTTTTAAACACATATCACTATTACTTGACAGATGTAACTGGAAAAAGGTGTCCTGAGAAATAATACTTGTCTCTGTGACAGCCCCACATTGGACTAGCCAATCAGAAATTTCTATAGGTGGCTTTCGCCAATAGCAAGAGTTTGGGGCGGGGCTAACTGTTTGACCAACCATTGAGTTGAGTGGAGTAGAGTGTTTGGGAAACATAATTGGAGACTATGTATGTATGTATGTATTTAGAAACATTAACAGTATACATTTAATGCAAGTTTATTTTTTGCAATTCTGCATTAATCGAAATGATTCAGTGATGATTCAACTTTTTCAACTCTCTTATCTCGTACACACTGACACTAACCTATACCACGTTGATTATGTTCCAAAGACAGTCATTTTATCTATTATATGTCACATATCATGTTGTTTACGAGTGTCAAGCAACGCCCTGTTTATGAAAAAGAACGGAGCACGTCAATGCTGCAGCCTCATCAAGTCCAATGTAAACTGTGAATTAGCGTACAACTCTAGTGTTAGATGGTAAACAGAAAGGCATTTCTAGAAAATCGCACCTGCCACGGATAGGCTTTCAACTCGGGGACATTACATGCTTTGCATGGCACCAGAGAATTTGTAAAGAAAAAACAACCACAACATACTTCACAAAGTTCACCCTATTTATAGCACCTTTGGAGGAACTGGCTTGGAAGACTATGGCAAGCCCTTTTGACTTTTATTCATTCTCAGGATATGAATTCTTGATATCAACAATTAAATTTCAACTAGTAAAAACTATAATTCTTGATATCTGTAATTGTATTTTCACTAGTTAACCTTCTGCCGAAGTCGTTCTTATAGCTTTTCACATCCGTATCACATCGGAAAGCATATTTTAAATAAAAATGAAGGAAATTATCGAAAAGTGGAAAATAACGTGTGGATATTGGTTAAGGTTAGGGCTAGTTGTAGGGGCGGCATCCAT